AGAAATTTCAAGTGTTCTTGATGAAAAGACCAGAGCTGAATAGAAAATTTGACTTTCAAATTCAAGACTCAAGCATAAAAAAGGAAATAGGAAAGGGAAATCATAAGGGACTTAATAAGGTTAAACCATACCATAGGTATGAGTTGAATAGGAAGAGATGATATCTAAAAACTAATATTAAGTGGTGAGAGAGAGGGACATACTGGGAGAAAGAGAAAGGGAGTGGTAGAATGGGGTAAGTTATCTCATGTAAAACAGGCAAGAGAAAAGCTTTTACAGTGAAGGAGAAGAGAGGGGAAATGAGGGAGAGTGAGTGGACGTTACTGTCATCAAAATTGACTCAAAGAGGGAATAACAAACATATAAAAGCAATTGGGTATAGAAATTTATCTTATCCTACAGGAAACTAAGAGGAGAAGGGATAAGGGAAGGGAGGGGATGATAGAAGGGGAGATTGGGGGAAGGGTGGTTAGAAGCAAATACTTTGGAGGAGCGACAGGTTGAAAGGAAAGAGAGAATAGAATAAAAGGGGAGAATAGCATGGAGGGATATACAGTTAGCAATAGTAACTGTGAAAAAAACTGAAGCAAGTTTCTCTGATAAAGGCTTCATTTCTCAAACATATAGAGAACTCAGTCAAATTTATAAAAATAAGAGCCATTCCTCAATTGATAAATGATCAAAAGATATAATCAGTTTTCAGATGAAGTAGTCAAAGCAATCTATAGCCATATGAAAAAAAATACTCTCACTATTGATTAGAGAAATGCAAATTGAAATAATTCTGAGGTGTTATGTTATACTTATTAGATTATTTAATAGGATTTAAAAAGCAAATGACAAATGTTGGAGGGGATGCCGGAAAAATGAGACATTAATGCACTTTCAGCAGAGTTGTGAACGGATTTAATCATTCTATAGGGCAATTTGGACCTATGCCCAAAGGGCTATAAAAGCGTGCATAACTTTTTGAGCTAGCAATATCACTACTAGGCATGTATCCAAAAAGAGATTAAAAAAAAAAGAAAAGGACCTATGTGTACAAAAATATTTATAGCAGCCCTTTTCTGGGGGTAAAGAATTAGAAATTGAGGGGATGCCCATCATTTGGGCATTGTAGAATGTGATTATGAGTGAATACTATTGTGCTATGTGATTATGATGGAATACTATTGTACCATAAGAAATGATGAGCAGGATGCTCTCAGAAAAACCTGGAAAAACTTGCATTGGCTGACGCAAAGCGAAATGTACTCTGTATAAAGAAACAGCAATATTGTAAGATGATCAGCTGTGAATGACTTAGCTATCCTCAGCACTACAATGATCCAAGCCAACTCAAAAGGACTTTTGATGAAAAATGCTATCTATCTCCAGAGAAAGAACTGATGGTGTCTGAATACAGATTGAAGCATACTTTTTTTATTTTACTTTATTTTTCTTGATTTTTTTGTCTGTGTTTTCTTTCACAACATGACTTTTATGACTGTGTTTTGCATGACTACACGCGTATAACTTATATTGAATTGCTTGCCTTCTCGATGAGGGGAGTAGGGAGAAGGAAGGGAAAGAATTTGGAACTC